AGTTGTTTAAGGGCAAATGGCATGGCATTTTAATCCTGTATTATTCATACATATACAGACAGGCTAGGCAAAAACCATTCACACCAGGTATTAAAATCTGCCCCGCAGCTACCTGGTTTACATGCAAGTAAACATTTCTCCATGCTATTCACTGAACTATCAGCTCAGTGATAGAGATGAGGTCCGCTGTGTTTCTGTAACATCATAATTACATTTAATCACTTGCACTGGGTTATTATTCAGACATTTATCATGCTTGAAAATTACCTATGTTGCATAATGTGGAAGGTCTTTTTGTAACAAAACTCTTGAGGGGTTCAATTATCTATCTTAAGAGACACTAAATGAGGGGAGAAGGTGAATAAATAATGTGTGGCTTCACGAGCTCAGCGTCAGCAAAAAGACACTAATGATAAAAACAAACAGCCCTCCCTCCCCCAACTGTTAGCTGTGCAAAACATCTATAATGCAATTAGAGTGCTGCGTTAAAACATTAAGCATGCTGCCGTTGAGCTGATATTCTGGTTAGGTGGTTGACTCAAGACACCGTGCAACCAAAAAATGCACAGTTCCAAGTAAGCAGAACCAGCCAGAGACGGTTGACGGGAGTTGTGAGGGAATATATGTTCTACTACAAAGCTGTTCAACAAGCATTTAATAAAATTTACTGTCTTCAATCTATTCCTTTAAAGGGCTGTTTATTAGGCTTTAATTAGCTGACAGCAGTGATGGAATGTTCTCCTTCTTTAAAATGAGAGTTATCTGAGTAATAACTGCAGCTTGAAAGAGAGTCCCTTCAGGTCAGAGGGAGGTCCTCCATTACTACTTAAGAGCGATTGTGGTCAGACTGCCAAACCAATCCAGATTTTTAAAATAGATAACCTTCAGTGTGTACACACCTGCATTTAACACTGTCTGGACATGATCTAATTAGCGTGGGCAAATGTTACTGCCAGTTGCAAACAAGGTCAATGTGTGAGTAAATGAGTTCATAAAGTCTGCTAGCCAAGTTGAAATAGTAAGCCCCAGACATGCCGTCTTTCCATCCCGACCCCCCCCCAATCCTTTTAATCAAAAAGGATTAAATGCAAACTCCAGTTCCTCCAACTTAATAGTTAATTCTATTGACAGTTTCCCAGCTCAATATTACATGGACCCCAGGTTGCTCAATGGGACAGAACTAGTACACCCTTTACTTGTGTGGAAAACCCAGAGCTCAGTTTCCAAGAGGCCTTTCTTTCCTGTCAAACTCCTACGTCTATTTAAAGAGGCCATGGCAAGGTTAAACGTCCAAAATGGTCACTGCAATCTTGATTCTACTGTGGGAGAGAAAGATTTACTGCAGCAGCACCTAGACCGATCAAATCATTAGCCTTAAGAAACAAAAGCATACAGGACTGTCACCAATGCAGATAGAGGGAGTCCGAGCAGCCTGCAGCCTCCTCTGGAATTGTGGGTTATTTTCCAAAGTTTATACTGTATTTTGACTGATTTGCAGTCAGTAGGAGGGATCCAACCCTGTTATAAAACATAAAAAGTTTATTTAGGTTCAGGGTTTTTTTTGTGTGTGTTTAAGCTTCCTCTCCATTCCTGACTACTTGTGTGACCAGCAAACCTTACCTTCCAACGAGGAGACTATTGTTTCCAAAGCAGAGAGTGAGGCACAGGTTAAGTCAAGAATAAATTACTGTGGCTTTTGAGGAGTCAAAAAAAAAGTGAAGCAAATAAAGCTTGCTCCACCTTTTTTTTTTAAATAAGAAGTACTTTCTCCACTCTTCAGAAGGACATAAACTTAATGCTTCAAATTGTTATTTATAATTGGTTATTAAACTAACACATTTGCTTCAATTTGGATGATCAACTAGAAAGGAGATCATTCTAAATCGCATGAGTTAATAGAAAGACAATGGAAATGTTTTGTTTGCCATCTTACACTTGTTGCATACAGTTGTTTTAAATTACACTTTTGACAATTTAACGTTTCAATCTAGAAGCTAATTCACTTATTAGTTATGTCATGATTTAATGTGGGATCTACACTGTTAGAATAAAGACGATGCACTAAGCCGCATGTCTGCAGCAGACGATTTTTGCCGAGTTACATGTTGTCTCTGCAGGGATTCTTTTAATCTTGTAACTTCTTCAAAGATCACAACAAAAGTATTCAGGATGCCGTTATTCTGATATTAAAGAAAAAGAGAGAAATGTATCACTCATTTGGGAGATTAGCTATGATGTCAACCAACACAGATCCATATGATTTAATCAGTTTGTTATTCAACCAATCCCTGAACAGGTGTGCCTGTTATCAAATATGCAGCCTTTAACGTGTGCCAGATTCCCTGCTTTATGGAAAGGCTCGCTGATGATGGCGCATTACGCTAATGACGTGCGACAATCCGACTGGGACAGCTTGAAAACAAAGCCTTTTGAACTCATTTAAAACTGATTTGATTTGTTTTGGGCTGCACAGCAAATACTGGTTTCAAGTTCAAACTAGGAGTTATGTTATTATCCAAGTTTAGCTAAAACGTGCACATCATATGCTTATAGTTAAGGCAACAGCAGTGAACGATGCATTAATTAAATGAAAGAAGCATAAGGTTTGAAAATTTCAGTGCACAACAACGACAAGTATGTCCATAGGTGTGCCAATTGCTGTATGCGCTCCATTATGTCTTCTCTGTGTCTTTCTAAGTAATAAATGTTGTAGAAGGTTGCACAATTACAATGACGTCAACAAGAACATTGAAAACAGATGTAGTGGTGTTGCCGGGGTAAAGCGTGACCCATAGATAGAGGCCTTAGTCCTTGACGAGGCTGTCACAGGTACAAGTCCTGACCTGATGACCTTTGCTGCATGTCTTCTCCCTCTTTTTCATAATTCAATTTCTTGTCTGACAACTGTTAATAAATACAGACAAAACCTTTAAAAAAACAAAAAAAAAAAAACAAAGGCACTTGTAATATTTCCTTGCTGATAACATTTTGCTTTCCTTTAGATCTGAACACCTGATTAATATGAGTGATTACAGCTTCAGGTTTTTTTTGATATAGTAATTTTGAATCCAACTGAAAATGAAAGAACTATGAGGCCATCCAATTTTATGCATCAAAGGATGTGTCACTAAGCTTTATCAGAATTTTTTTTTTTTTTTTTATTAAACTAAGAATAGGGCATCAAAGTACATGATTTCGGTCGACGTATTTATAGACAGAAAATGTTGGGAGACTTTGGTTTGACGCATTTGTTGAATAGCGGAAACACAACTGTGATCAGAATAAAACTGATTCCAATCTATTCCTAATTGGCTGAGGCATTATAATAAAAAAAATAATAATAATTATAACTGTTAGGTATGAAGCAATCAGTGGTTTTAATGATTATCATGATAACTTTTCAGCAGTTTATAGCTGTTTTAAAATGAAATTACCATTAAAACAGCACAGTGTTACCATGATTTTAAAAGCAGAAAACCCTTAAGAACACATCCTCTCAGACAATTTATCTCAGAAGAAAGGCAAAAAGATGTAAAAGTAAAGATATTTGAATTTCAAAAGAATCTTAAACATGTTGGACTTTGGGAGGAAAGCATTTTGAGGATGTTTTTTCCTTACTACATTCAAAAGGAAACAATACGAGTAGCCCTTTGCCTCCAGCAGCCACTTAGTGCCTCGAAGGTAATCCAATCAAAGTTAACTCTCATACTCTCCTCAAAATGTTCTCATTTTTCTCTCTAACTGGTTAACAGCTTGGAAGTTTTCTTGAACAAACAGCATTATATTTCAAGGTCTATGTTTTTTTAAGGACAAAACACAGATTTTTTTTTTTTTTTTTTTCGGATAAAAGCATAAAAACGAGTTACAAGATGATGCACTTTGCATGGAAAGCGTTTATTTGAACCAATGATCATTTGTGAATTTGTAAATTATTGTGTTTGAGCGGTGAGTTTGACGAAAACGTGCAAATTGCCATTGCTTTAATAATTTCAAAATTATTAAAGCCACAACCGATTCCACATTCCATGATTCATTTAAACATGCATGCATGAGACAACAAACCCCAACTGAGTTCTTGACAAATAGTTTAAGGCAGCTACCACAACCTATTACTTTTTTCTAATTTCTAAATTTATTACATGAAAACATACAATATGACACTGACCCATGAAAATTACAAAATGACCCATAATCACGAAGTGTTGCGTCTTCCACAAAGTGACCCTAGAGTGACTGTCAGGCCAAATACGTAACACTTTTTAGCACCCCGTAGTAATGTGAGAACTGTATGCCCCAACTCTAATGCCTTTGTCATACTGATGAACTTGATGAGTTTCAAGACAGTAATCACAATACGATTTTTAAAAAATAAAAATAACTAATACTAATTTGTATTTATTTATTTAATTGTTGTTTATCCTAGTGATTAGAGCTTTCAATTTAGAACAAGTTCCCGGAAAACATCGTTGAAACCATGGTAACACAGCTGTACGTTGCTATTTCTTTTCATTTTCACTGGACAGAAGCTGGTTTCAGCACACTTAGTCACTTTTTACACCCGTCAGTCTCTGCTGGACACAGTCAGACCTGAAACCATCAGTGAATTCATGAGGGGACCCTATAGCAGCGTTGGAACTTTTGGAAAGAAGTGAGCATAAATAAAAACAAGGAGCAAATCTTCTCACTTTAATGAATAAACCAGCCAGATCTATAGTTGCCTCACTGGTGCAAGCTGAGGGACGCAGGGAGGTTTCACCTGGTCTTGATCAATATCCAGATAGTTAAAGCCCTTTAAGCAGCAGATCCCTCACAGGAGGACTTTTAAGTGACAGGTGGTTGATATGTTATATGAGTGATCTGTATAATATGCAAGTAAAGGGTAAAAAAAAAAATGCAGCCCCCCTCTTTTTTTTAAAGTGACCCAAATATATCCTTATACACATTCTTAATAAATTACTTTATAGCAATCCTGAACTGTCGGAAAGGTTGCGCAGACTTACCTGGGATCTCCTGGTGAGGAACATGTGCGAAGGCGAAGCCCCTCTCAAGGCAAGCGTCCCTCACCTCGCTGCAGTTCCGTGCTTTAAAATCTGCTCTTGCTGCGACTGACAGCACAGAAAAAGTGCAGATGATAGTCTCTAGTCTCAGCATTGTTCACTTGTGCAAAGGTCCTTCAGTGATTTCGGGTTCCCAGCCGTAAAATTAAAAAAAAAAAATAAAAATAAAACTCCCCCCTCCTGCAGCAGGTCCGCAGGTACTTAATGACTGCTCATGTATATGTTGTTTGGAGCTCAACTAGTATGAATGTCTACCGACACATTTCCCGGAGCAGAGCGGCAAGTCGAAGCGCGGCCAAGAATAAGTGGCGCAGAGAAAAGGACTGTGTAGGTGCCACATGAATTCAAGAAGGTGGCTCAACTTGGTCCAGCGAAAGGAGCCCCTGTGGAGGCTGCGCTGAAGTGGAAATGGTGAGGGCTGCTGGAAAGCGCTGCGTGTTCGGATCAGACGGACCGGCAGGACAGAGCGGGACACAAAATATGGAGTGGAATCTAGCCTCATCCATTTCAGCTCAGCGGGGAAACGGGCTGGACTGACATACAGGAACAAACATGCTGCCACCACTGGTAAATATGGATGGGAGATTCTTAGTGTAAATGTAGTTTTAATTGCAGGATCATGTATTCACTCTGAAATGTTTAAATACAGCCCAACATTTAAAGGCAATGGAATCATTGAGTGTGATGCAGTCTTAATTGAGAAATAATTGAGGCTGCCCCAATAATCTAAATGACTACAAATGTCAAAACTGGAAATGTTTATTTTCATCTGTGAAGACTGGACCCTGCATGGAGGGGACTATGCTTCCAAAGCTTATAAGAAACAAGTTTTGCATTTATTTAGAATATACAGACATAAAAAACACACTAGATATCATTATTTATTGGGAATTACATGCTTACAATAATAATTTAAGATTGTTCCCCTGTGTGAATATGCAAATAGCAATATGGCTTTCCCAAATTGTTTAAAGGCATAATAAAAGCGGACAACTATTGTTTTTTTTTCTTTTCCAAAGCTGTTTCCCCCACACAATAAATAACTCAAATTAGAGATTAAATGTACCTAAGATTTTCAGAGTCCAACAATGTTACTGCAGTAAAAGATTAATTAACTTCAGAAGTTTTTACATGTACCAACACTTTTGTCCATTCAGTTTCATTACAAAAGGTGAGTGGGGAGAACTTAAAATAATGCCAGCATGATGGGAAAACTTTGGCTCATTTCAAATCCAAGTGATAAAAAAAACAAAAAACTCAAACTTTCATGAATTATGAAAAGCTAAGATTTTACAACTCCCTTAATTTCTATCATCTCTACTTGCATTTTCCTCCACCAAAAGGTAACCATGCTGTACCTTAAATCAGGCAAATGCTTACTTATTGTCTCATCCTTCTTTACTACGTACAGAACGACTACAGTAGCCTTTATAACTATAAAACACATGGAGTTAAAGGATACAGTGAGGATCAGAAGGCAAGCTTATCAGGGCACTATTGATTTTTGAAGAGCTTGATCCCTCTGTAGATCAACAGTGGATTAATGTGACTGCCACTAGGATGTGAAGGATTTCCATTAGAGTGGTGTGCCACCTTGTGAAGGTGTTTTCAAGTGTCACCGGCTTGTCTCAGAGGGAAACCCTGCACCAAAAGATTTTGGGTCACATTCTAGGTTAACACAGGGAATCTGTCATGATGTGTAGTTGTGAAGATTGGACCCAAGTACAAAGCAGGCAGGGGCAGTGAGTAGATGGTGACTAATTTAATTTAAAAAAAAAAGTAATTGAAGAAGAACTTACAAAACAACAGGAACACCAGGAGTAAAAGCAGGAACAAACAAGGACCAGGTACATGAAACTAACTGAGAATCTAGTGCAAAGTTAATGAAGAAGAAATGGTTAAATACTGGAAGTGAAATTGCTGTAACAATGGAATTGAAGTAAATGGGTTCAGCTGTGAGGGTAGAGGCGAAGGCAGGCTGAGGGAAAGAAAAAGATGGCGCAGGGGAGCAAGGAAAAGTAAACATTAAGAGGAGAGCAGGAAGTAAAAAAAAAAAAATCTAACCATAACAAAAAATAACTAACCACAATGTACAACAGATCTAACATAAATAAAAGAAAAATAACAACTAAGGAATACTGGTCAAAAGTAAAGACAGAAACTACAGCAAATCATGCATAAATAGGAAAGTAGGACAGCAAACACCAAAAATCCAAAACACAGGATCTGGATAGAACCTTTCCTTCGTTTTTTTTTTTTTTTTTTTTCTTTTTATATTGGAAATATTTGTATTCTTAAGTGATCGTATTATGTATCTTAAAAAGACAGAATCGTTTTTGTTCACGTCGATCCCATCCATTGACAGATCATTTAGACTTTAGGATCCATCAGACACACAGTCCCTTCCTAAAGTATTCACACCTTTTTAACCTTTTGACATCTCACCTTACAACTTCAAATTTCATTGTATGTTATTTGGGTTATTTATGATAGACAAAACAAGTAGTGCAGAATAATAAAGCAAAAAGAAAATGATACAGAGTTTCATGTAAAGTAACAGAAGAAGTGATCTTGGAGTATTGTCTGTGTTAAAGTAAAGTAAAAGTTAATGGCAGGAGAGGTTCCTTTAGTGGTTTCATGTAGGAGAAAAACAGAGCTAAGCAGATAAGTTCAGAGCCAGTTTCTTTTTAAGTCTTTAGGATGAAAGAGGGAGCACACAGTTAGTCACAGCAAAAGTTCAGCCAATGGCTATGTCTAAGAGAGAGACCGGGTTGCACACTGAAAGTAGGAGAACATTACTGGCAGCAGTAGGGTGTGAAAGCTAAACAGGTCAGTAGTGGCTCCTATGTAATAAAAGCTGAAATAACTTTACAGTTCAACTTTACAATTTATGCAAAAGTGTAAAGTAGTAGGAGAATGACGAAAAGTGGTTATTATGTTTTCTGCCAGCTTAAGCCCATAGCAGCATAGCTACACAGACTGCCCAGGATAAGTTACTTTAGGTTTGCAGTTGTAAAAAGACTAAATGTTATGTGTGAATAGTTTTACAATGTGTGACTTGAAATTCTGAAAAATACACCTTTCACTATATTTGTCAGAATATTTCTATCTTAGAATAAAGATTTGAAAGATTTACTTTTATCCACCATGTGCCTGTAAACAATGCAGATTGACACTAGTGTTAACAGTAAAGTACTGGAAATATTGCCTTCTGTTTTAATATTTACATTGAGGATTACAGGAACAGCTGCAAGTTTCTCAACTCCCTTCAACTCAGCTGTGCTTTAAAAGTGTGATCTTTGGCCCTGAAGCTGAACATGCCTTAATTTATTCATGTTTTTTTATTTATAAATACCAGTAGGCTATGTTTTCACATAAATTAATATTTACCATACAAGGGAAATTTAATTCCAGGGATTATTCTCTGAAAACAGCACTTTCTAATTCGGTTATTATATAGTGAAACAAAGGCCCAAGCATGTCTATTTTTAAAAAAAAAAAAACTGAATCCAGTTTATGTCAAATTTCCAGAACTAGTGATGTGTTTTTTCTTACCTTTTCTTTCTGAGTGATTTCAGTGATTACATAGAGTTAAATAACATTCTAAAGATGAAGTAAAAGTGGACATTTATAATCTTGACAAAATCACAGAGAGCTTTTCAGGCAGTGTGTGCTGTAGCCAAGTAACTAAATTGGCTTAGACTGCCAGACTGGCAGTACAGGAAGAAAAATCTAATCTAAAACAGATTGTGCTCTCTACAATCAGGCTGTCAGCTTTTAAAGCACAAAAAATAATCACACAAAAGCTTATTAATAATAAAGTTTTTCGATTCAAGTTAAGTTATTTGCAATTTACTGCTGTCTGAAAAGCACCCTTGAGACTACCACATTTTTTCTGGGAAGCATGTGGCAACTAAGAAGGTTAGAATTACAATATGTTTATATGCCTCCTCTGTTCATATATGTGGAACGCTGGAAAAAAAAAAAGAGACACTTAAAATCCCCAATTTCTCTGATTTTTCTTTTTATATGTATATGTTTGAGTAAAGTTAACATTTTTCTTTTATTTACCAAACTACTGACAACATGTGTCTGAAATTCCAAGCAAAAATTTTCTATTTGCAGAAAATGGCAAATGGTCAAATTAACAAATATGCAGTGCTTTCAGACCTCAAGTAGCCAACAAAACAAGTTCATATGCATTTAGAAACACCAATGTAAATGTTTTAACTCAGGAAGAGTTCAGGAATCAATACTTTTTGGAATAACCCTGAGGTTTTCAATGGGGTTCAGTGCAGTGGTCTCTTCTTTTTTGTCCAGAACCGTATGTATATTTTGCTGGAGAATCCCAGGTGACACAGTGTCAATAAGAGGAAAAGGTTGAGTTAAACACAAACACTAAGATTACATGATACATTGGTATTCACATACCTTGTTTTTCAGACTATAGAGCGCACCTCACAAAGTAAAAAAAAAATAAAAAAAATAAAAAAGGAAACATACATATATAAGCTGCACAGGGCTATAAGCTGCTGGCATCTCAGCTGCTCTCGGTTTTCCACAAGGACGCAGCCCTGCGTCTGCAATGCCGAACCACGGATTCATTCACGCCGAGCTTAGGTTCAACTTAAAAGCTGCATCATATGAACTTCTTTGTGTAGTTTCCATGATGAGGGCGTATGAGTTTAAAAACATTTCTCCGTCGTGCCTGCTGCTAGCATGTGCTTGTTCTAAAACAGGGGTCCCCAAACTTTTTCCTGCGAGGGCCACATAGCTGTTCCTTTCTGTGGTCGGGGGCCGGTCTTAGTTTTTGCAGTAAAAAAAAACAAAGAAATTCTTGTCGACACTTTTGGATAGATTTTTACCCAGAATGCAAATGGAAAAAACCGTGAGTGAAACGGTGACTGACGAGTATATATTCCATTGAGGGAAAGTAAGTTTCACATTTGCTCAAAAGCCCCCTGGTGGTTGAAGAAAAATCCACATATAAA